CCCACTGCAGAACGGGGGCACCCTCCCACTGCAGAAGGGGGGGCACCCTCCCACTGCAGAATGGGGGCACCTCCCCACTGCAGAATGGGGGCACCTCCCCACTGCAGGACGGTGGCACCCTCTCATTGCAGGACGGGGGTACCCTTACCAGTAACAGGCTGGAGCTCCAAGAGGGCAGAGGAGAGAGTGCTGCTTAGCACCTGGTACTGAGTTACAGCCACGTGCGCGTTCCGGCTGGTCCGTACTCTCACCATTTTCCCACTGTCCATGCGGTAGCTCGGGGTTAGTGCCATCTGAAGCCAAAGAAATCAAGATATGATCTCAAAGGAAGAGCAGAAAATCCGTGCCTCCGGGAGGCGGCTCACCCACCTTGTGGTGCTGCTGCTGGCCTTGCACCTCCTTCTCGGTGATGGGGATATCCACGACTCCTGCCGAGGGCACTGGGACGTGCACAGTGATGGCCCTAGGGTGACACACACACCCTTGCTTAGGCCACAAAGGTCAGTGTGGCACTCCTCAGATTTGGCTACCTGGAGGTTTTAACAGTGGACCTTCTGCACTACTGTGATCAGTTCTTAAGGTCGGAGGGTCCCAAATGATCTCTTGGTATAATGCTTAGCCTGAGAGCTTGACACTATTCTTACAAACATTAACACAAAGGGTGCCAAAAAAATGTATGTACATTCTAAGAAAGGAAAACTGCATTAAAATTACGCTGATGGTAACCACTTTGAGCACCTCTTGTAATTGCAGAAGTCAAACATGACTTGTATTCATCTTTTGTTATCGGTATATATCAAGTTACAATTTTAATACAGTTTTTTCCTTTCTTAAAATGTGTGTACATTTTTTTTTGCCCCTCTGTATATGCTAATTGTAGAATATTTGGGGAAACAGAAAAAAAATTATATTACTAACACGGTCTTTCATTCTAGCCTTTAAAAATGAGTATGTATAGCTTAAAATAAAATTAGGGTAATATGGTTTTGTATTCTGGTTTTCTTTTTTAGATAATAAAAGATGGTAAGTTCCGATTGAATATAAAATGAATGAAAAAAATAAATGACTGAACTGAATGAAAAATTCACAGGACAACTCCTGCCCTATTTGCCAGGGAGATAAAAGGAACTATGCTCAGAGAAGTCACAGGAACCACAACTCAGTGACTCATCCAAAATACTTTTGTTGGAAGTCTCTTGTCATCATGTCACAGACAGGTAAAAGACTAATCTGTCCTTATGTTCATGTCTTTTCCAGGTCAATCATGGAGGAGTCTTCCTGGGTACTTGGTGGCCTATCATAGAATCACTGACCAAGTGGTCAAAAGTCAACTCAGAGATAATATTTCACATCCTGGACACCCCACTGAAGGTTGGTAGCAGTTTGGGCTGCTATCTGATATATTTGATCATACTTAAACTGAGTTGTAACTAGAAGATCACCAGTCCTAATGACCTAACACTATTGCTCAAAAATGTTGTCAGTGAACATTCACTGAATGTAAACAGGCACCAATTTATATAGATAGGTCCTAGTTCTATGCCGATGAACAATACAAAAAAATCCCTGCTCTCAAGAAACTCAGAGTCTAGTAAGAAGATTCAAACAAATAACTGTAATACAAGCTGCTAACATAGTAAGTCAGCAAAAGCTAATCAATTCCACTTGTAACTTCCACTTCCTGCACCCGGAATTCAAGAACATCGGTAACTAGGTCCTAGCCCACCTTTCCAGCTCTAGCTGCCACCATCCACCACTCGGAGCTGGACTGTATGCCTCACTCCTTTGTGCATGCCATTCCCATAATCTAGAACACAGTCCTCCATCTTGCCGATCAAATCCTATTCATTCATCAAGAACCAATTAATTGATTTCAACTCTGCTATGCCTGATATCGAGAATGGTGACCGATTCTGAACTTTCATGGACAATTTTCACAAATAATATAATACTTTTTTATAAACTTACATTTTGATTACTTGTATACATGATAATAGTCTCGGTTTTCCATCTTTCAGCTTTTACTAGAGCTAGGTCCTGTGTTAAACACTTTACAAGCATTGTTTCACCCAAAATACAAAAAGAATACTTACAAATCAAATAGAAAATAATAAAAAAACCCAACAGAAAATGGGCAAAAGAAATAAACAGTATGTTCACAGAAAGGGAAACTCAAAATAGCCAATAAACACAAAAGACAGTCAACGTGAAAAGTACACAGGGAAATAGAAAAAATATTTTTCTGTTCACCCATCTGAGGGGCAAATCTTTTAAAAAGGCATTAGGCATAAAAGGAGGTGGACACTCACCACTGCTATGGGAGTAAAAAACTGACATAAGCATTTTGGAGAGCAATTTGGGTAGTCAGTATTCAAATTTTAAATGTGTATGTCCAGCTCAGCAATTCCATTTCTGCGAATTTGTCCTAAAGATATATTCACATATTTTTTGCAATAGGTTCTGAAAAATGGGAAATTACCTAAACACCTGCCAATAAGGATATTATGATATATCCACACAATGGAAGACTATAGAGCCATTAAAAAGGATCTAGCTCTAAATGTACAACACAGAATGATCTCCAAGATATACTGTCCAAGTGAAAAAAAGCAGGATGCAAAGCAGTGCAAAATATGCTGCCATACAATAACATGCTTCTACATGCTCTGGAAGTTTATACAAGACACTAGTAATAGTGATTGCCTCTGGAGAAGGAAAATTAAGTAGATGGGGGACAGGAGTAGGTTTCATTCTTGCTCCTGTAGCTCTCTTCTATTAAAAAAGCTGAGGTAAACCTGTATGTATTAATGTGGAAAGATCCTCAAGACACAGAGTTAAGTGGGAAAAGCAAGTACAATGTACGTAGTACAATGTGACATATATATTGGTACACATACATGTGTACACGTATATGTGTAGGTACACACACATCGTATATACTAGATATGTACATAAATATGTTGAGTAAGGACCAGGGGAATAAAAACCAAAGTACCCTAAGGGAAGGGATAAAAATGACAGAGTGGGTGGATTCTCCGGGAGTTTTTTGCTTTATCTTTGTTGTTTGACTATTTACCACAGAAATGAAATCATGTATCACTTGAATAATTAATTTTCAATGATTTTTATGTACATCCATAATTAGGAATCACTATTCTATGAGACTCTAATATTCTAAGCACTAAATCTGTTTCCTATGCCCACAGGTCCTAGTACAGTGCGTTCGATTAACAGGAGTTACTGCTGTCTGAATGGATGCATAGACGAAAGGGATGGCTTCACTTCTACCACCTCTACCACTATCAACAGGCTTCATACCAGTACTTCTTTGCCACCTGACGAGTTCTAAACAACTCTTGGACTTGATGTGCCACTTCTTTGTCCCGAGCCAGTACCATGACACCTGTGGTTTCCTTGTCGAGCCGGTGGCACAGATGCAGGGGCTCTGCCTTGTGGCCATGAAGCATCTTTGCCAGGATAGGTAGTACATCGCTGATGCAGAGCTGGACCCCAGGGCCACCTAAGAAAGGGAAAGAGAGGTTTGAGTGGACTGGAAAAGATCCCATCAAATAATTCCACTTGGGGAAAAAAGTACTTACTGGATTAACTGCCAATGCTTTCTAGAGCCTGAAATGTGGTCCAGGTTAGCAATATCTGTATGCCCAGGGAGTTTGCTAGAAAGGGATCTCAGCCTCCCAACCCAGGGTACTAATCAAAATCTGCATTTTAACAAGTTGCCCAAGTGACTCATATGCATATGAAAGTTTGAGAAGCACTGGTCTAGAGCATGTAGCTTTCTCCTTAGATATATGCGGCATGATCAAAATATACGGTGAATGCTGCTGCCAAGTGCCATCCAACAGAAAGGCAGGGATCTTCAATATAGGAAGCAGCTTGTCAAACCATAGTAACAGTGTATGACAAGCTTCAACTTATTCAGTGCAGTCGGGTGTGAGCTACAGTTGAGAGAGGGTGTGTTTTAAAAGTGTGCAGGCCTGAGAAATGGGCAAACGGTTTCATCCTCCATCGTGACAATGCTCCGTGTCACGTATCGTGTCACGTATACGGCAATTTCTGTTAAGTAAAAACATCACGGTATGTCCTCATCCACCTATTCACCATATCTGGCACCGTGCGACTTCTGGCTATTCCCCAAAGTCAAAATGACCATGAAAGGTAAATGTTTTGAATCCATTTAAGACATTGATTCAGAACAGTCGATTCGGGACAGCGCAACTAAAGACACTCATGAAAGGACTTCCAGAACTGCTTCAGAAAGTGGTAAGAATGATGGGATAAGTGTGTTCGAAATGAGGGGGGGTGTTTTGAGGCGGATTAATAGCAATGTGTCTTTTACTGTAATAATTTTTTTTAATTTAAATATTCACCATATTGTTTGATCACACCTCATACAATATATATCTATAGATATACCGGGGGCGACCAAAAAATGCATACAAGTGGACACTTTGGTCAATGTTGCTCAAACAGTAGTTCACCATAATCAGAAGTGTTTGGACTCTGATGGTAACCACTTTGAGCACCTGTTGTAATTGCAGAAGTCAAATGTGACTTGTATTCATGTTTTGTTATCGGTACATATTGAGTATTACAATTTTAATACAGTTTTCCATTCTTAAAATGTATATACATTTTTTCGCACCCACTATATATCTAGTATATATCTAGTATATACTAGATATATATTATCTATTTATCTGCATGTATTCACATTAAAATCAGCAATCAAAATGAGGAGGTCTGATATTTCACTATATAAATTTGCTAAGTAAACCCTACTGAGAAAAGCAAGATTATGAGGCCCTCTTGAGGAATTACAGAAGAGATAAGAGGCTCTGGAGTGACACATTCCTAGGTTTCACTCTACGTACTCTCCTAACTAGCCACTGACCTAGGATAGGTTACTTAATCTTTCTAACTTTCAATCGTCTCATCTATAAAATGTAAATATTTGTATTGTAATTATCTCATGAGCAATGGGAAGGCAAGAAGCTGTTTTGAGAATCAAGAGAAAAATCCCCACAAAAAGCACTTCGCAATGTCTGATTTAATTTTTTTGCCTTTATGCACAACCTTCTCCATACCTACCTGAAAAGCATTCTTCTTCTAAATAGCTAAAATATGCTTTTTCCCCCAGCAAAACTCTTTCCACAAATGCATTTTTTTTTTCTGTCTTTCCTGACTCACTCCAGGTGTCTCTGACAACTACACTCAGCATTTATTCAAAAACATTTGAGCGTCCTTTAAGTTCTAGGCACCATTGGGTTTTGCTGGGTATACTACCACACCCACACCCACACACATACATACACACACACACACACACACACACACACACACACACTTTTTTCTTATATGCTATTTCCTTTTCCCCAGTTTTGATGGAAAATAACCTGAAGACAAGAACCACACAGTCTTTGTTATCTCTCCATAGCAATCTCTGTGAAGGTCTGCACACAGCGTATTCCATAAATCACTGCTGACTGCCAGATGTTTGGAAAGTGGGGACTGTCTTATTTATCTGTGTCCCCAGTAGTGCCCTCTATAGGGCAATAGTCCACAAAAGTTTAATTATTCTGAACGCAAGGTTTCCGAGAACCCGACAAGTAATGTGTCAGAAATTGCCCCTAGCTGTAGCAGAAAGCAGCAGCGGCCTCCCTCCCTTTTCCACGTGTTCCTTACCATGCACAGGGAGACCATAAGGCTTATTGATGACCACAAGGTCGCTGTCCTGGTGGACAATTCCTCGGCTCAGTGCCTTAGCGAGCACGTTAGGGTGGACTCGCTGTAGCTGCTTTGTAAATTGCACTAGTTCTTGCACTCTCCGCTGGACAGGGTTTGTGGGCACCTATAGAAAGAGAAACAGCAATGGGAAATGTCTGGTGAAGTAGACCTTCAATAAGTCTGGGTGGGAATCTGGGCAGGGAAATCACTGTATCTGCATTAGATTTGTCCCTTTCCCTTGTCATTTGAGAGCGGGGTGCTTAGCACCGAGCCCGGCAGGAGCCAAAGACCCAACCCACAGGAAGACACCGTAATCTGCTGACCTCTCTCTCCGCTTTCCCCAATTCTTCTACCATGGTGGTCCACGTTTACTAGCAGATTCTCTCAGAGGACCCTCCCCTCGCACTCCCCGCCTAGGAAACCACTGAGCGCATTGCCTCTTGGGAGCTATAGTCCTTCCTTCTCGACTCACCGGCACCCTCTTCGTCTTTTGTTCCTGTTTCTGGGCTCGGAGCCTCTCCGCTAATCGCTGGGCATCCAGGGGCCTAGAGGCAGCAGCGGCGGAACAAAATGGCTTTGAGACGGTAGTGAGAAGACTCCCCACACGCTTCCTGGAAAACTGAACCCAGACGCGCGGCGCCCTGCAGGTGGGCGCCGCCATCTTGCCAACATGGGCGGGGCGAGCCGAGACCACATGATTAGGGAGGAGGATTGGGCGGGCTCTTGGGTCACGTGGGGCGGGGTGGGCTGGGCCGAGTCACGTGGGCGTGCAGGCTGAATGCGCCTGCGCTGGCCGGTAGCTGCAGCTGGAGCGGCAGCGTTTGGAGCGGACGCGGTAAGTGTTTGGGGAGCTGGGCTGGAGCTGGGAAATGCCTGCGCCTTAACACGTTAAAGTCTTCGCATCCCAGGGTTTCCGTCTCGTAGAGCACTGCCCTGGGAGACCGTTTCTCCTTTGGGGAGAGGATCCCACCCCAAACCCCGCCCGCCCCCGCGCCCCAGTAGAGAGCGATGCCTCCAAACGCTCGCCCCAGAGCCTCCTTAGGCTCCTGCTGGTTCATCTTGGCAACCACGTCCCCGAGGACGCATCCTGTCCCCTTCATTTCCTTGCCGCCTGACCTGAGGAGATGCCAGGGTCTCTTGTCACCTCCCGACTCCCAGGCTCTTTGTTTCACGTTGTAACCTGTCCTTCTCTCCCGGGGACGATGGGGAGCCCTCGCGTTATCTAGGGGCCCCAGCCCGATTTCCTACCTTCTGTCATTCCTCAAGAATTCATTTCTTGGAGTCGCCTCTTCCCCTACTCTTTCCCTCCCTACTTCTTCCGAAGAAAAGGCTGAGAGTACAGAGCACGCACTTGCCCCTTTCTGCTCCCCTCATTTTCCCTTCCATAGTTTGCAACTGCCGCAAACCCTCTCTCCCTCTTTTACTAAGTGTAATATTGGGACTCCCGTGCCCAAACTGCAAGCGACTCCCTCTGATTTCAGTAAGGGGTGGCTGGGAAGATGAACATTTGGCTAAGATGGTAATGTTAAAAATACTTTGCGACATACCTGCCATTTGTTAAAGAAGAAAGCTAATGCCGAGTTCTAAAAGGTAGTGGATCTGTGCTGACGATAAGAGGACACAGTTTTTTTAAGACGGCTTAGAATGAAGGCTGCCTGAGGGTTTAGGTAGTGGAGTTAGGTTTGCGTCTTACCTCCACCAAAAGGGATTGGCAGAAGGGAGCCATATTGAGCATGAAATAAAGTTGAACAGCTAAGGAGCTAGCCTCTAGACGACTTTAAGTTGAAAAAGTTTGAAATGATGTGATAAGTAGTGAGGAGTCTTTGAAGATTTTTTGAGCAGTAGAGAGACTCCTTGAAGGGAGAATTCTAGAAATGAATCTGGCAGTTGAATGCAGGACAGATGGAAAAGGAAAGGACTTTGATAGCAGGGAGGTCTGCTAGGATGCTGCAATCTAGGCAGTCAATAATGAGGTTATGCTTCATTCAATGGTCTTTTTTCCCTACACCGTACTGTCCTCTGATTTTGAAATGATTTTGAGTTGTACAGGTCATGATGTACCGTTGGCAGCTGTGAATCCCTTAAGGACTCATTTATTTTTTTTATCCCTACATCTGACACAGAGTAAGCTCACAAATACTCGTTTGATGTCTGACGTGCATCATAGATGTGTGTTAGGTGTGTCTGAACATTTTGATTTGTCTTAGTTCTGTCATTTTTTGACCTGAACAATGGAGGTAGGAGTAACTATTTGTAAAGAGTGGGAGGGAAGACATCTATGTGCATGTTTCTGTAGTAAGACAGGTGATTGGGATAGAAATGCAAAGAATTCCAAAGGAGATTGGGAAACAACTTCTCTCCTGTTTTTCCCCCCAGCAAATTCACAGGTAAGACATAGATCTATATAAGTTCAGAAGTTTCACACTACAAGAAGTATTACCTTTTACTGATACGCACCACATCCAGGTTCTAATTTCATTCAACAGTTGCACATCACATGTTATAGGAAGCCTTTTTCCCCAAGGACTCTGAAATTTAGACATCAATACTTTAATTCATATCGTTACATTAATTGCAAACCTGTTTTGGGTATAGTACTTTTATGGTTTTTTGTGGGAGCTGGGAAAACCTGTTTCTACCTTAACCTGTCCTAATGGCATTCAAGAAATGACACCTGTTCTTAAAGAATTGGCCTTCTGGGCAGGAAACAAAATGAAGAACCAACTCAGATGTCGTTGCTAGTGACACAGAGCTTGTGTTCTTGGGTTTCAGGTTAACCCAAGGTACACACTATAGTGCCTAAGAATAAAAACACTAGTCACTTTTTTTCTGGGGAAGGAACTTCTAGGTTTCTGTTGTTGAAACTTCATAAGAGAAATTTGAAGAATGCTAAGTTTTTGTTTGTTTGCTTGGTATGACAGTACAGCCTTATCCAATATGGGTACAGAAGTTACAGCATTCTTAATGTTTCTCATATGAGTCTAGGCTCTTGGTGATTTAAAGTAGAGTTGCTCTCTTAAGTATATAAGAATTTATGCAAATATGATGCCTGACTTTTGTTTTTTAATGCTAGATTTGCCTTCTTCCCCTTCCTTCCTCATTCATTTGGTCCTATTTAAGCAGTTCTTTTTTCCACTTCTGCACCAATCTCACATTCTCATTTTGGTTCGGGACTCCTCTCATCTGGACTGTTTGCTCAGTACAAGGAAGAAAATTCTATTCGTGGTGTCTTCATTCTTCTAGAGTTCAAACATGGCATGTTTACATAGATTCTCTTAATTCAATTTATTGGGGGTTACATTGGCTAATGACATAAATTTCAGGTGTACAGCTTTTTAATACGACATCCGTAAACTCTATTGTGTGCTCACCACCCAAAGTCTAGTGTCCTTCCGTCACCATATATTTGACCCCCTTTACCCTTTTTGTCCTCCCCCAACCATTTCTTCCCTGGCAACCATCATAGATTTTGATACATCATAATATTACAGATGTCCCAAAATAACAATGTAAAGGACTTGATAATTCGTTTTTAAGGGTATTTCCTGACCTATGCAAAAACAAGGCCACCTTTTTATGGACTGGCTAATAAAGGAATGTGTGTTTAAATATCATACATTTAAGTTTAATTAGTAGCATAAGGTTGAATTTTGACTCTTCAAACAATGATTTGCTAGTTGCAGATTAACCAGCAGTTCATTTTCCGTGAAGAGCAGGAAGTACTTGGACATTGTTTTATGGTTTTAGAGAGTCAAAGAAGCAACTAGCACAACCCTCTGGAGGTGTCCTACAAAGTGCAGTTGTTAGGAGCCGAGAGATCGGGAGTAATCCCAGGTGAGCTGCTTATGAATTTAAGTAATTTGGGCTTCAGTTTTTGTCTTTTAAAAGAAGATCCTTACAGCTCTAAGTTCATATTCTATGAATATTTTCCACTGACACTTAAGTATTTCTGTTACCAAGTGGGATTTATTTCAGGCTTATCTTGAATACGTTTAGCATTGGCACAGAGAACCGGGATTCTGCTCTTGTCCCCAGAATTTAAAGTTATGCCAATGAGCTAACATTTATATTTGGAGGTTACTTCATTGAGTGCTGTTGGAATATACCTTAAAGATTTCCTAAGTGGGGTATAGGACAAAGTGCAGACAGGACAAAATATGTATATTAGAAATCGGTGGTATAGGTCTGTACCAGCATTTTAAAGAGATTTTATTGTATTAATGCCTCTCATACTTTTATTATAATGATCAAGCTTTTGAATAATGATCAAGGCAGGTCTAGCTTAAACAAGTACCCCTCAAACCTTTTTCATATCATGTCGCATGTAAAAATAATTAGTATTTCATGAAGGAAAACTTGAGAAAGCCCACAGAAGCCAACTGGCCGGGAAGCTGTGGCTGGCCCCAGTCCCCACATGACCACACCACAGGCCGAGGAGATCGCTGTCCTGTGGCCCATCTGAGCATGAAGAAGGTTAGCATTGCACATTCAAGGTCTTTGACCCAAAACCTGCCTAATTCTGGAGAGGAACTGCATTATGAACTATTTTTATAAAATCTGTCTCAAACTGGTTTCTTTTTTATGTGCCTTTATGCTCTTGGTTAGTTTGTATTTCAGGTCTTTACAAAGGGGCTTTTCTAAAAGTGTGTGAGAAGTGCTTTTGTCATGATGCTTTGACCTCATTACATGATGGGCAGCCTTGCTTGGCCTATTTAGATAAGATAGAGAATTTCTTTAAAAAGCTTATTTTATTTTCTTCCATTGTAAAAGTAATACAAAAAATGTGAAAGATATAAAAGTAGAGCGGGAAGAAATCATTCATAGTTCTGTTTCTCAAATACTGTTAGTATCCTGGTTTTTCTCAGTCTTTTTATTGTGCATGTTTTCTTAATCGTAAATTTCAAACATTTACAGAAGTAGAGAAAATGCTCTAATGAACCCCACGTACCCATCAGCCAGTTTCTATCACCAACCAACACAGGGTCAGTCTTGTTCCATACCCCACCCTTACTTCCCAGATTGGTTTGGAATCGAATCCCAGACAGCATTTTATCTCTAAAGACTTTGGAATGTAGCTGTAAAAGATAGGACTTGTTTTTAGCATAACCAAAATACCATTATCACTCCTTAAAAAAATTATTTCTTAATATCACGAAGCAAGCAGTCAGTGTACAAATTTCCCTGTTGGTCTCGTTTTTTTTTTAACAGTTAATTTGTTTGAATCAGGATCCAAGAAAGGTCCACAATCACACACACACTTTTAATTAGAAGAATAGAACCATATGGGCATTCAGAAGAGACATGTGGACTGTAAACCTTAAGGATACTTAGAGCACACTGGCTAAGAGCTTGAACTTGGAAGTCAGACAGACTGGGTTTCAGATCCCAGCTCTGCCACTTGCCAGCTGGGTAACCTCGGGCCAGTTACAAACCTCTCTCTCCCTTTAGTTTACGTATCCTGTAAAATGTGTGGGTGGCGTCTGCCTTAGGACTGCTGTGAGGAGTAAGTAGGGTCATACCTGTGAAAGCACTTGTGTGGAACCTCGCACATAGTGCTCAGTAAATATCAATACTGTATGAGCTACATCTAGTTCTGCCACTTAGATGAGTCACTTCAACGTCTTGGACCTTAAATTTCTCACGCAAAAATGGGGGTGGGGCACACAACTAGATGACTTCCA